ATGCCGCAAAGAAAACTTGTTGAAAAGGAATCCAAACGTGTAAATAGCGGGATGGTCACAAGGCATCAGGGAAAAAAGCGAGCAATGATTGCTAGGGAAAGTGAATAAAAGTCATAAAAATGAGGTTAATACTATGCCTGCTACAAATGATCATTTGTGGTTGCCCATGCTAAATCACATTGGCATCATTTTCTAATAAGTTGCCCTTATGCTGATAAAGTCATAACCATTACTTTAAAGACTGGGCTTGTGTGACAAGACCGCCTCATAAATATTGCGTTCAAATCGAAATGGACCCTCTCCCTCCCCACCGTTTCGACCTTCGTTTGTATTCCGACTAAACGCATTCACTAGATTCGGTGGCATATGGTCACTCCCCCACATCACCAATTGCTATCGTAGTGTGACATATTGCTCCACGCCACAGCCCCTTTGAAACGCATCGGGAAAGGCGGTGCGATACTTTCTGCACTATAGACGACGTCATTCATAGCGCACTGACCTAATTATGAGCCATTATATCTATCATATCGCAAGCAGGACCGCCAAGTGCAATTACAAACACAAATATACGCAATTACCTCGAGCGCCATTACTGAAAGCTGTGGACGTCCACAAATTAAAACAGCTTCATAAATAAATGAATTGATCTGTTCGTTATGATTGTGTTATTTATTTGTTGATGAAAAAATAAAGCCGGTTGAGCGGGCTTTGACAACTTGTTTCACAGCAATGTGCATATACTACAGTCGGCAAACGCCAGATTGCGCCTCCGACGACTAGGTTATTCTAAAACTATATAATAAACTAAATCGGTGAATTAGGCCACCGGAACAACACATTCTAAAACGGTCAATCTGTCTACACCCTCTGCACGCTCTATTAATCGCGACGTGTTCAAAACGGGCCATCGACGACTGCGTCCGTTTGCAGCGCGATTTAGGCCGAATCATCATCAATCTTCCTGTCACCACATAAAGCTGAACACAAAATCAACTAAAGCGCTAGCGGAGGCTTACCGAACAGAGCTTTGGCGCTAAATTGTTGACATATTCGGCTGGAATGGTAAAGGAACGTGTAGTAAACACTATTCTACAGCTTATGATGCATCCATCAACGCATGTTTTTTATATAACTTTAGGGAGAAGTTGTTTTAAAATGCAAAACAAGGATAAAACATCAAAATGCATGCTTAAGTACAATTGTTACGTGCTGTGAATTTGAGATAATTAAAACTTTTTTATTATCATATTTCTACCTGAAATGAATTCCAAAATATGTAATAAATGTTAAATAAATGTAAACCGCATGGAAAAGCAACCCGCATGTTGGAATTACACGGTTCCTTGAGCCTGGACTCAACTGAGCCGCGGTTCGAACATGATGGACCGGATGTTCGACGGGAGCAGCAGTCCCTCCCCCCTCCTCGAGAGGAGGTCCAATGGCCGACGGTCCCCGCCCCCCCCCCGTACCGGCACTTCGATGAACCCATTGACTGGCCTATTGTCTGACCGTTCCCAATCACCCTGGTCGGAGCACTTCTCCCATCTGGGGTTATATGAGCAGCGTCACAGGAGCACCGGACGGAAATTACAACAGCTGACGGTGGGGGTTAGAGGACAGAAGCAAGTCACAAGGTATGTGTGCTATACTGTGTGAGTGACCTGGTTAGGTGTGTGCTAAGAAACGGTTTGAGAGAAATGATCTATAAGAAGTATAATTTTTAAGATCAGTTATTTACCATGTCTTCCTTTTACACGAATTCATTCAAATAACGCTAATGGATGGCAAAGCCATTTCATGTGGCATTGTGGCATGCTAGAGCATCACAGACATGACACCTCACTGCTCACACCACCACCAGGCAGCAGTTACATAACACCAGCCATTACACCATGCAACCCCAAACCAGGGATCAATTCGAGATGGCGCACTAGGAAGCTAGTAAGACTAGGTGGCCAAGTGACACTTGAAGGTAGTGACACTGAGCGGCATTTTACACCAATCGGCTAGTGGCTCAGCGCGAACCGAAATCGCCTAGTGAGACTTGAAATCAAGTGGCACTACTATGCATTTCAGACCCCATGAGACCCTGTTTTTCGGCGATAATTTCTTCAGTTTTTGTCTAATCGGCTTGAAATTTTGACATCAGACATTTCAGCTCAAGCGCCGATTTTCATCAATATGGTCTCTTAACAAAATGTCAATATTTAGAGCACTTGTCATAGGCTCGTAATGCTAACTAGATTTTGCACCCGGATAGAGGCTCGTTCGCTACCGCAGCGGATTGGATGGGAGCGCTGGCCAATCACGTTGCGCCGGGCCCAACCAAACTCCGCCCACTGGCCGTGACCGCGCTGGGTCTATTCCGGCTCAGTCGGCGGCAGCACCGCGGAGAGGTCGCACGGGGGCCGCGCACTGGAAACATACATGGAATCGACAGGAAGTGTCTGAGCGAAAGCTTGCTCTTCATCTGGGGGGGGGGGGGGGGGGGTTGGTAACCGCTTCTCCCTGCTTAGTATATCAACACCGATCCAGCTCAGAATATGAAGAATACTCATAATGAGGATATTAACCTCCCCAGAACCAACTTTAACCCTATTCCTGGCGGGCTCCGCCGGGACAAGAAACTGGCGGGGGGGGGGCGATTCGGCCCCCCTTCAGATCTCAAAAACTACGCATCGCAGCGACAAACAGCAAACGGCGTTTGATAGGTTGTTTTAAGATCTACAACTTTTACATAAAACATTTTCAGGTCAGGTCAATATTGAGGTCAACAGAGGTCATCAACGATAAAATGTTTTGGAACTAGTTACCTATATAAATTTTTAACTAAGAAACATAGAGACATAAAACCAATACATTTTTTGTTGCTCTCGCCGAGGCGATGCGAAATAGGTATGTGATGACCTTCACAGGTCAATTTGAAATTTGACCTGAGGTCAAGGTCAGGTCATTCATCAATGAGGTTGTGGGGTATGATCATGCTGCATACCAAACGACGCGCCTTGGCCAGGCGAGCAGTTTGGTACCACTTACAAGTCTTTAGCACCATCATGTCGTGATTTATTGACAGAAAAACGATTTATGACGTCACATGCCCTCAGATGACCTTTGCCGGTGCCCCTGTCAATTAGCGGCACCAGGATCATCACCGATGAGAGAATCTTTCATAATACTGAAAGAATTGGGTGGTTTTGACTCGTTTACACGAAGCAGGAGGCGTTTCAATATTTTCCCATAGGCTTGCAATGTAAAGGTCACGAGTCTGGCCTGACCTCAGGTCACATATATGAAAATTCTGAGATATACAAATTGCACATACTGGTACCCTAACTAAAGCCTGAAGAGAAAAAAATTGATCGGTCAAAAACTCTAGCTCTGGCGTGATTGCAAACTTTTCTGAGGTGGGGTCACCAAACCGCCTCTGGTGACCTGACCTGACCTGACCCGGCAACTTTTTTTGTCAAAATGTGCGCAATGAATGTTTAGAAAAAGTCACCGAGTATGAGCTTTCAGTCTTGCGGCGTTTGGCAATGGCACAAGAAAAACCTGAAGGGGGCCTTAAAGCCCCCCCCCCCCCCGCCAGGAATAGGGTTAAATAGAGAGCTGAGTGATGACTCATGCACTAACTGAATATTAGAATGAATGCACATTCTGGCGCCTATTTAATGGTCAGGTCGTGCCACTATTCTGTCACCTATGACAGCATGCGAAGCCTCTGCACCACTCGAAAATATTGATATGGTTGGCTGCGTCAATCGTTGTTTCTGAAGACGCTGTTATACCTATGCAGAAAATAACAGAGTAGGATGATGACTGAGTCGCGAGCACTTCCGATTGCCTTAGACATCGCTCCATGAGCTGTGTTCGTAACTCGTGAAACGTTGAGAAGGGAGCAGAAATGTGATGTGCGATTTACTGCGCATGGTAGAAATGCGACATCAAAATAAGGGAAACAGGCGCATTGGCTAGTAAAGAAATCGCGTCTTTTTGTGAAACTAAAGTCACTTTTCAAGCTCTCCAATAGTGAGGCAGTAGGTTAAGGTTACTTACAGGTGTTTTAATTATTTGCAGTTCAACACGAAAGCCTGGGGTCAAGTCAGTCCGGACTCCGGTGATCTCAATCTAGCCAATTATAAAATCAAAATGGGTTAGTTCTGAAGGTGTTTATGTTGCACCGCAATCACATGAATCCATCTCAAGCATACGCATAAGCATAATATCTTTCATATTGCAACCACACTTCTTAAATGCTACGGTGTTTACCATGTCTTGCGAATTTGACGTAGGCTGACCGATGTCTTGCATCAGTTCATAGTCACTTGACATCCACGATTTTTTTAAATGACGTTCAATCAAGCAAAAATCAAGTCACTAGCCCTGAACTTATCATTAAAGTAGGTATATCTTTATTGATTGACATGGTGTAGGTTAATTTGCGATAAATGCAATAACGAAGGCTAGTGCGCTAACTACGAGCGCTAATTTCTACTGTATCGTTATTACTGCAACGGCAACTGCAAGGCAGCCACGTCCAATGCGACCCGCCCCGGTCCGGCATACGGCCTTGGGTGCGGCGGCTACTGCCCCGTCGGCTCCACGCATCCGACTGACCGGCCAAGGTCACCGCTCCGTCCGCCGGGAGGGCGGAGCTTAATGGTCACGTGCCTGTGACGTCACGCCTACGTACGGATAGCCTCTACTCCACTGACGGATTTACGGAGCTGATTTTAACATTACGAGGCAACGACAAGTGACCTAACAATTGATATTTTGTGAAAAGACCATATTAGCGAAAATTGGCGCTTGAGCTGAAATGTGCATTGTGAAAATTTGAAGCAAATTGGACAAATATTAAATAAATTATCGCCAAAAAACAGGGTCTCATGGGGTCTGAAATGCATAGTAGGGCCTTAGTGCGCCAACGCGAACCGGCTGCAGGGCCGCGCCGCCGCGGTCAGACGACCTATGACGTCAAACCCACAGGCTCCACCCACCTTGATGACGTCACCCTGTCGGAAGGTGAGGGCCAGCAGATCAGATGTGTTGTGATAATCACGGATAGCGCGCACTTGACAGTTGAACACCGGCTCTGCAACGGAAAATAAAAACAAGGTCAAACAAAGTAATGAAAGATCTAGGATAAGCTCCTTCATGGATTTATATGTACATAGATATAGGCATACTGATGCCCATGGCTCGTTGGTTGACTTATACGACACTTGCCACGCAATATAAACACGACGAAAGCATGAAAGATGAAATCATGCAATAATGAAGTTAGCCTAAACAGGTCTCACAATTGCATCACGGCGATACTCCTCCACATCATAAGCTCCCACTAACTAGCCAACCCCCTCCTGGGGCGGGTGGATGGGGATAATCCACCCTCCCCCTCCCCGGATGACATTTCCTCAGCCACCGGCAGCCGGTTTAATTTGACGCTCCACGCTGAGACGGCCCAGACCGAGTAACGAACCGACTAATGGCGCGGAAATATTTGATATTTCGCCGAAAGGCTGTCGTCGGGCCCTGAAGCTGGCTGCTGCTGACGTGCGGTTAGAGGGCTGCTGAGACGGGCTGGAGGGAGGAATCGTGCCGAGGGGTTAGATACGGACTGAAAGAGGTTGATGACCTGAGGGAATGAGAAGGTTTGGTAAATTTAATAAAACTGCGAGAGCTTAGGGACCTGTAAGACTAAGAAGCTTGGTGGCGTTTGTGGTTGGAAGGGTTTGATGAGCTGACTGACCGAGCTTTGTCCTGAGTCTCTTGAAAAAAAACTGTTGGCCTGGTATTATGCAGTACCGTAAAGTGGGGCTATTTGAGACAGTGGGGCTATTTGAAACAGTATTTAAAATCGCTATAAAATGAAGATCGTTTGATTTATTTGTGATATTTTTGTTCAGGGAGGTATGGAACCGAGCAGTAAATCGTCTGAGCAAAAATCAATCATAAATTTCAAACGGTTTTTATTTTATAGGCATTTTAAAAACTGTCTCAAATAGCCCCACTGTCTCAAATAGCCCCACCTTACGGTATGCACATTTTTGATAAAGCCTCACATCCGGTGAAACAAAGAGACCATAGGAACATATGTGAGCATCTAAATGCACATCTCAAAATGACTATTCCCTCCTGTATGCTCACTCCACAGACTCCGCCAAAACCATCCCTGCCTTTCAACTCCACCTTTGATCATCCCTTTCCATTCAACCCTAGATTCTCCCCGCCTCTCCTCACATCTGACTCCAGCTCCACCGCTGCTCTCCCGCGGCTCGCCGACCTGCCTCGACCTCCGCCGCCGCTGTTTCCTGTTCCATTTGCATTCAGCCGCGGGCCGTCGGCATCCGACCCCTAATCGCCGACCACTTCTATGCAATATGCATGCTCGGAGAGCCATCGTGTCTGGGTTCCGGCTCAACGGTTCAGCGGCTCTGCGCCGACCGTGCAGCGCGCAGAAACGATAGATAAACGGGAATTCATATGCATCTCGGAGGGATGGAGAGGGGGGATCGCGACGCGGGAAGGTAGATGGGGAGGGGATTAGAAATATACAGAGAGACGGAGCCAGATCAGACACAGAGGCGGGGTTGAAACAAAGAAACTGGCAGCAGGCGGCAGCAATTATGTTTATGGGGAGCAATTCATATGCGCATAGTGAATGAGTAAGCACACAGCGTATCGTTGACCACGATTTCTTTCATGTAAAAATACGTAATCATGGATAAAAATAAATACCGAGGATCATGGATAAGGTACAAAGGACACCTGGCTAAATATTTTCATCAAGCTCGCAAACGTTACTCTGACACATCCTAGAAACTTTGTTGCAGAGGCGCCAGGCTTCGCGCACCCCACAAAAAGCCTTCTTGTCATCCGGGCCGTTCGCATCACCGCGCTATTATCCCAGGATTTGATTAGTTGGCGTCTGGACGATAAATTAGGGAGCGAGATGGGCGTCTCGATCCGTTCGGCTGACTGGGAAGAAGTATGGATTAGCCACACATCACCGGGTGCGCGTTACGAGGCGGATGGGACGGGAAAACGGTGCAGCGCACGGAAAACGACGACGAAATGGTGCTACCGATGGGAAGGAGATGTGACGCTTCCGCCATTCATCGGTGATAAGCTAGGAGGATAAAGGATGCACAAATATGTGCGTAGCTAAGTAAGAGCACTCTAATGGGCCTGATCATATGAGGAGTTGAAAAGACTCAGTCATGAGGATAATGTTCATAGGTACGTCTGAGTATAACTTTCGGAAATAGGTTATTTCGTTTGCAGCCCAGGGCTCTCAGCCTGGCCATATTCGGCAATAAGCATGTTAAAGTCCATGGAAGCAGCGTGGGTGAGCCATTTGAATCGCATGAATAAATAAGTCGCCAGATTCAACTGCATGTAAAATGCGCCCAAATTACGCTTGAAAGATGGTGCTTCAAGATATAAATTCAAGAGCATTTCACTGCACCCACGCCACAATCAGCCCACACTCATACAATCACACCTAAACCCAACTGCCACCCACTTCTCACTACAGAACATAATCGCCTCTCATTTCCACCCCCGCCCGCCCTATACAGACGCCCCAAATTGACCCAGCTCACGTCAATCGGCCGCATTTGTCACCTGTGCTGCACGAGCCCTCCGGGTCACCCCCGCTCGTATCAGAGACGCTATTCGACCCAGAGACGCTTGGCAGTCGGCGCGACTTTGCCCCTCCCCGGGGGTGAGCACGCTAAGTGTTGCCATAAATCCACCATGTGTAAAATGAAAGCCAATATCGTAAAGTTGTGGTCGTGAGACGTGCGTGGCGTTCGCGCTGCGAAAACGAAAACAACGCAACGAAGACGACGCCGAGCGTCGAGGTAGGTTGGAAAAGCGGCGACGTTGTCCCGGCGATTTGACGGGAACAGGGTAAATCGTGAATGAGAATTGTGATTTGGATAGTTTGAGGGGTAATAATGATGATTGCTATAATGATGATGGCTTTGTTGGAATGACCCGTGGCCATGACTATATATTTCGGTTGCATGAGTGATGGCGATTATGGCATTGTTGATGTGGGTTGTAGCGGTGGCAATGTATTCCGTGACGGTTTTCGTGGTGACGTGGGCCGGGTAGTCCACATTACATTCAGCCAGTGCGGTAGTGTGCACACTACCTCGTACCACAATGGTGGTGAAAGATGATAATTTTATGGTGACGGAAGTGACTTGAATGGTGGTGGAGGCAGGTGGCCAAGTCTGTGTTGGTCGCCTGTGGCGATCGGCTGTGCCTGTGACTGTGGTCACTGTGGAGGGAAGCTGTGTCTGTAACTGTGGCGACTGTGGACTGTGAACGGAAGCTGTGACTCTGGCGGACGTCCACAGCTGCTGTGGTGGGCTGTGGTGGGCGGCAGAGCCCCACTCTTCCAAGGAGGCGCGAATGGAGAGCCACAGGCCCCTCGGGGACGCTCCGAATGACGCCGGCAGCGCCCGGCGCGTGAGGTGACTGCCGAGCGGGGCGCCGGGTGACAAGCTCATCCGTCGCCGACAAACAACGACAACGGCGGCCGATAACTCGACCAGAGCCGGGCGATAACTCGACCGGAGTCAGCCGAAAACGACGGCTGGTTTGGCGCGGCGGGGAGGAATTGGCAATCCGGAAACGATTTGGATAATGACGATATTTTTCAAAGAGAGAAAACTCGTCATCTTTAAACAAATAACGAAATCAATTTAAATAATCTTAAACATAAACATGGTACGAGCTACGCAAGAGAACATGCGTATCGAATAAAATCGAAAACAGCTCGAAGCTAAGTTACCTGGAGGAGAATCTTGCTGGTTTTTATTTACTGACACAGAATGTTGTTCACTCATGCCTCCACCCAACCATTCCCTCTGTGTACAGTTACACCTGTCCGCCGACTCGTCGGCCAGTCCACCACTCGGTCGGTCGGTCATCATTCTTCCGTCGATAGAGCGACCACCAACACAGCACGCAACGACTGCCAATCCAGTCCGGCCCTCAATCAGACGTCGACTCGGTCCAATTTGGGGCAGCGGCGAAACCTCGGCGACCAGCGTACAACAGAACAGCGCATGTAGGCTCCAGGGCAGTCATCATAACAGAGCGAGTGATGTGCTGTAACACGGGTTTTGATGACTACGGGGCATGGTTTGGTGACGGAAACAAACGGCGGAACTGAGGTTTTGGGATTTTTTTTTTCACAGAAATGAGGCACGGCAGAGCGGTAGAAATACATGACATTCATGTTGCGTCATATTCACAAAGTGTCTCACTGATGAGTTTCAATTTGCATTACCGCTGCCTAAGTACAGGCTCGCACGCTGAGTGGAAGCCACGACTTTGGTGTTTTGCCCGTCGAAGGTGGTGCGGCGGCGGTAAAATCAATGTCCCGGCGACTGATTGGAAGACGACGCGATGATCTGGGGCACCGGCGCAGACAAGGAAAGGTGAATGCCGAAATCGACGCGAACCGATAGACATGCGCCAAAGAACACCAAGGTAGATCGTCGCTTGCGATGAACGGCGTCGAATTTCTGCAGATGAAGGACGCGAGAGTGTGACAAAGGAAGCAATCTTGAGGTGGCTCGATGGTTTTTACAGTTGAGTAGTAGCACCAAAAAGATAGCAGCGTTGAGCGGCGGAGACAGAAGGGGTTCGAGAAGAAGTGGAAAATGAGACGAGCATATTTTTAGAAATCATATTAGAGGTGACTATAAATATGATCGAGCGATTCGTTTAATTCATCTCTTCTCCAATTCGTCTAACATAAAACCTCATACGCTTTGACAAATATCGAACGACAAACGGCGATCTAATCACGGCTGCCAATTAATCATCAGCAGCGGCGCACAGTGGCGCTCGTTCCTTTGTTCGCCGGCCATAACTGATTCCACGCAGTTCTCTGTCCGATAGTCTCTGACGATCGACCAGTGCGGCAGACCAGCCCCGCATCGCATGGCTCCCTCCCTCCCCTCCCTCCCTCTCTCCCCCTCCCCCTCAGGGCAGCCGCCCGCCAGACTGCCGGGCGCCGCGGCGTACCACGTGACTGATGACGTCACAGGCACTGCGCCATCGACGCGG